TTTTTTTAACCCAGCATTTCATTAACCCAGCATTATATTTTCACATTTTCCACACAGTTTCCTCATTCTTAACTGGTAGGAAAATGCCATGAAAGTGGCAGTAATGCAGTTCAATTACAAATGTAGAGAAAATGGCTTTATAATGAAACCCTGTATTTTAAAAAAAAATCTCATATACACTACAATTTCAGATTTTTTTTTTTTTTTTCAAAAAATAAATAAATAAAAATTCAGTAAGGATGCCTTAAATTGATCAAAACAGACAGTAAACACATTTACAACATTATAATAATTGATATTATAATATTATAATCATAATAAAACATTTCTATTCCAAATAAATGCTGTTCTTTTGAACTTCCTATTCATCAAAAAAAGTTTCTACAAAAATATGAAGCAGCACAACTGTCTTAAACATTGATAATAATCAGAAATGTTTCTTGAGCAGCAAATCAGCATATTAGAGTGATTTCTGAAGATCATGTGACACTGAAGCCTGGAGTAATGATGCTGAAAATACAGCTTTGATCACAGCAATAAATTACATTTATTCATTATTCAAATAGATAACAGTTATATTAAATTATAATAATATTTTAAGAATTTTACTGTATTTTTGATTAAATAAATCCAGCCTTGGTAAGCAGAGGAGACTTCTTTGAAAAGCATTCAAAAATAGTAGTGTAAAAAATTCATAAACTATTGATGTTGATTCAGTTTTATGGATAAGAGGTCATACATTCCAATTGTCTAAATACTCAGGTTGAGAACGTGTGCAATTTAACAGACTAAAAATATTTAGCAAAAGGATGACACAATATATTATGTGTTACAAAAATAAACACACCCTTAAAAAAAAATCAAATTGAGAATGTCAATATTACTTCTAAATATAAAAGCTAATTTCTGCCACTAATCTAGAGCAATCCTCTATAACTAGTCTGGTAACTAGTAGGTTGCTGGTTCAATCCCTTTGAGGAGGAAGCCAATCTTTGACCATTATGTGCTTGACCAAGACCACTTGTGTTTCTCCAGTGGAAGTGAATCTGCAGTATGTGTGCTAAAAGAGATTCAAAGCCTCAGTTAAATGACTACAAACAGACTGACAGAAAGAAAAGCAGCAGGTGAACACAGTTAAACAGTAACACACAGCAAACAAGCCATTACCCACCAGACGAATAATCACATTCTGATATGCATGATTCTGAACTGCCTGGAGCAGAACTTCATGCCACTAAAAAAGGATAAGATGTGGTTTATGAACCCAGATCGTTTCCAGGAACAGCGCCTGACAGCACAGACTCTTTAAAAATTCCTAATATTTCCATTAACCTTTTGGCACAAGGACCCTGAAAAACCCTCCATTACCGCTGTGAGTAATGAGACAAGCAGCTGGAGTGTTTGCTTCCGCCGCACACATAAACATCCAACTGTTTGACAAAAAAAAAAAAAAAAGAAGGCAGGTTGATCAGGTGGAAGTTTAAATGCTAAACATGAGCTTTCCATAAACAGGTGCTGATGTTTTCCAATGATGTAACAGTAGAATGAACAACAAGTCAATGACAAATGTGTTTAGGTGAGTAACAGACTGTTATATAAAGCAGTTAGATCCAGTTCTTGAATCTGATTGGTCGAGCAGCATAACAAGAGTGCCGAAAGAGTGGCAAAGCTCGCCTTTTCAATTGACTAATTAAATGAAATAATGCCTGTCCAATTCAGCGGCCTTGGTTCCGGAAGTATTTTTTCCACTAAAGCTGAATTTAAGTTTAAATTTAATTTGAATTTATGTCTTTAGCTGAATAATGACACTATTTTTTTTATCTGTAGAGCTGCTTTATAGAAGAAATTTGTTTCATAACTGATGAATTTTACAACATTAACACTCGTATTTTCCTCTTTATTAATGTGAAGCAGCTTTGAAACAATCTGCAATTGTGTTATATAAATATTTATTATATTATATGTTGTATATACTATTATATAAATAAAAGTGCTATACCATAACTTTTAAAAGTGTTTTAAAATAGTGTTATAAATATTAACCTATTAATTTAAAGTTGTTGATTTAATACATAAAAATATATTTTAAGTTTATTGCAAAATACACATTTATATATATATATAATTCTTTCGATTTCTTTGCAGAATCATGGGTAATGTAGTTTTCACCTCAGGAATTACCGTTAAATGTGATTATTTAAAAAATAAGTTGAAATAATATATCATCAATTAACAACCTTGCAGCTCACAATAAGTCCATTAAAATCAATTACCATATATGGAGAAAAGCTGTTGTTCTTTAAGTAGAAACTAGTACTTCAAAAATGTGAAATAAAATTTACATCATTTAGAAATACTTGAAGACTACATGCCATTATTTTAATTTAACTATTAAAACACTTATTTTATAGGTGGTAGAGAATCATGTAATTTGATTCGCATTGGTACCAACAAATGTAATCTGCTACCAACACATCACCCACTGAAGTTCTACTATAACATACAATTCTTCTGCATTATTAGGGGGCCGTTCACACAGAACGCATCTTTGAATCTAAAAACACGAGACGCACAATGCTTTAGAAAAAAGCGCAGAATAGAATGCTTTCTCTGCCATGTTGCCATCAAATAAAACAGTTGCCATGCCAACTTGCTGCTGTAAATAAAAGCTAGCAACGCTTGCCCCGCCTCCGGGGTCTTCGGATTGGTCCACTGTTTTGGAACTGACATTGATGAGCGGCGCTGCATGTAAAAGTTGAAATTCTTTTAAAAAAGCAGCACTCATGTGCGAGACGTTGCAAAAGACATGAGACACGAGCGTAATGGTCATATACGTCCATCTAGTGCGTGCTTACATCGAAAAACAATGGAAAAGTAGCGCATTGGAATGGAAAAACGTGTTCTGTGTGAACGGTCCCTTACACATCAATTCACAGTTCAAAAGAAAAGCCCATTTCAGACTGAATGTAGAGATCTTGATAAAATGCTAAACATGAGCTTTCCATAAACAGGTGCTGATGTTTTCCAATGATGTAACAGTAGAATGAACAACAAGTCAATGACAAATGTGTTTAGGTGAGTAACAGACTGTTATATAAAGCAGTTAGATCCAGTTCTTGAATCTGATTGGTCGAGCAGCATAACAAGAGTGCCGAAAGAGTGGCAAAGCTCGCCTTTTCAATTGACTAATTAAATGAAATAATGCCTGTCCAATTCAGCGGCCTTGGTTCCGGAAGTATTTTTTCCACTAAAGCTGAATTTAAGTTTAAATTTAATTTGAATTTATGTCTTTAGCTGAATAATGACACTATTTTTTTTATCTGTAGAGCTGCTTTATAGAAGAAATTTGTTTCATAACTGATGAATTTTACAACATTAACACTCGTATTTTCCTCTTTATTAATGTGAAGCAGCTTTGAAACAATCTGCAATTGTGTTATATAAATATTTATTATATTATATGTTGTATATACTATTATATAAATAAAAGTGCTATACCATAACTTTTAAAAGTGTTTTAAAATAGTGTTATAAATATTAACCTATTAATTTAAAGTTGTTGATTTAATACATAAAAATATATTTTAAGTTTATTGCAAAATACACATTTATATATATATATAATTCTTTCGATTTCTTTGCAGAATCATGGGTAATGTAGTTTTCACCTCAGGAATTACCGTTAAATGTGATTATTTAAAAAATAAGTTGAAATAATATATCATCAATTAACAACCTTGCAGCTCACAATAAGTCCATTAAAATCAATTACCATATATGGAGAAAAGCTGTTGTTCTTTAAGTAGAAACTAGTACTTCAAAAATGTGAAATAAAATTTACATCATTTAGAAATACTTGAAGACTACATGCCATTATTTTAATTTAACTATTAAAACACTTATTTTATAGGTGGTAGAGAATCATGTAATTTGATTCGCATTGGTACCAACAAATGTAATCTGCTACCAACACATCACCCACTGAAGTTCTACTATAACATACAATTCTTCTGCATTATTAGGGGGCCGTTCACACAGAACGCATCTTTGAATCTAAAAACACGAGACGCACAATGCTTTAGAAAAAAGCGCAGAATAGAATGCTTTCTCTGCCATGTTGCCATCAAATAAAACAGTTGCCATGCCAACTTGCTGCTGTAAATAAAAGCTAGCAACGCTTGCCCCGCCTCCGGGGTCTTCGGATTGGTCCACTGTTTTGGAACTGACATTGATGAGCGGCGCTGCATGTAAAAGTTGAAATTCTTTTAAAAAAGCAGCACTCATGTGCGAGACGTTGCAAAAGACATGAGACACGAGCGTAATGGTCATATACGTCCATCTAGTGCGTGCTTACATCGAAAAACAATGGAAAAGTAGCGCATTGGAATGGAAAAACGTGTTCTGTGTGAACGGTCCCTTACACATCAATTCACAGTTCAAAAGAAAAGCCCATTTCAGACTGAATGTAGAGATCTTGATAATACTTTAATCCGCCTGGTCTCATGATCTGGTTATACACAGAGATGGATATACATGCGCAAGGCGCAGGAAACAAGTGGATGCTGATTGATTAAAGGGGTCTTATTACACGGCTCTGTGGAATACTTGATTCTGATTGGTCAGTCCCTGTCGGGGTTTATTCTGCAATAACAACTGGCTGGATGTACATTATCCCTTACATATGACATTGCTAAAAAGAACATAATTTTGTGTATCTGGTGTAATGCAATGTGTTTATGCGGTTTAAGGTTAAAAAAACACATTGTTTTCCACATACTGTACATTATTGTTTGCATTTGTTGCATCCAGTGGGGACATAATTACGGATTATAATGACTTATACTGTCTTTTCACGTGTTTCGTTGCATATCGCGCCAGCGTAAACATAAAACCATGCTGTGATCGGAGAAACGACAAACAACAAGCGCTACTCTACACTGCTCAAAACTCGCGTTTGAATCATCAGTGGCA